TATTGGTGAGCACTAGGGAAAATAATTGAATGTGTAACCGGCTTTCTTAGCTTCTAAGACATTACGATATTAGTGCAAATAAGAAGAGGTAAAACCAACTAAATAACACGCTCTTACTTGCTATTGGAGTGATTGCTCCCTAATCTTCACAATGCGCCACATCTACAGATAAAATGCTATGCTAAAGTATGGTATCACACAATAAGAGCAGTAGGTCATAATTATCCAATCTCCTAGATTTTTATTTCTTCTGTGCCATCGCTCGAAACAACGATATGCAAGTTCAAATTTTATTTCTGAAGAAACTTGAAATACAACACCCTTTGTTTTCTGCACAGCTTACACTTTAAAACATATAGCGATATATAATAAGACAAGCCGGGCTCTTAAACACCGCGATTTTTTTTTTTAATTACCAATACTGCAGACCCCCGGAGGGGTCAAAGCGGGAGCTGCACGTGAAGAGGTTTAAAAACAGCGCAATGCATAAGTAAATGGTATCAACAGAAGTAAAGAAGAAGCACACTTTGTATACATTTGCATATAAATACTGAAAAGATAAGGAAACCACATAAACAATCGTCTATAGAAATCCATTTGGCATCCTATGTACAAGGCGCAAACACACGCGCACACACACACACACACACAGCAAGATAATGTAGATAAGTCACGTACTTAAATGGTACATAAAATAATTATAATGCAATTAAATGCAAAGGTGCAAGCGAGCTGGACAAGAATGACGAAAATAATCCCTGGAGAAGGGGAACAAGAGGGACAAAGGAAAAACATTAATCTCCAAACACAGCTATTTGACTGGTGAGCGACCGAAAAAATCCGCCTGGCCAGGGTATCGAACCCGGGACCTCTCCATTAAAGGTGGAGCGCTCTACAAACTGAGCTAACCAGTGTTTTTTTTTATTTCTTTATTGCAATTAGCTAACCAGTGGTTAGACGTCAGCAGATAATAAATTAAGGTTAAATTAAGGTTAAATAAATCAATAAATTATCGCAAATACACAAGTACAATGACCGAATTTGTATTTATGTCATTGAAATACACCGCAAAAGTGTATAACAGTCTGAAATACTGGAGGGGGGGAGGGGTAAACGATTTGAATTGTTAATCCCATTGGGAAAACATAATACTTATCTGTATTCGATCTCGCAAATATGTGCTAAAAATTGTGGGTGTTTCTGGCGTGAATGGCACGTTTTGGGGCGGATAGCAGGTGGCTGTAAAGCTACAACATTCTACCGCACCCCTTAACGATCGGTGTCTCCACCTTTTTTTTTTTAATTTCCCAGTGCCACATGCCGATTTAGTGAAAAAGCCGCGTTTTTGTGAGCTGCCGCTTATTAGAAATCCTTTCATTATAATAAAGGTCTTTGCTTAAAAAGACAATGAAGACGATTTTGTTTAATTTTTTTTTTAAATGGTGTTTTTATGCTTCTTAGGAAAATAGCATACTGCCCAATATTTTGTAGACATTTCTGACGCGTATTTTACAACTCAAAGCTTTCAAATGAGGATTTTCGCATCGTAGAACCCTTAAGAAGCAAAAAAAAAAAAAAGAAGAAAAAGGGGTAATTGATGCGAAGAGAACCGATGGACTGCGGACCATCTTTCTTGCATCTTGGCCAAGGGCAATCAGGCTGCCTGAATGCTCGCGCCATTAATTAATACTTCGCGAAACCGACGTTTGGTTTATTTGCGCACGTCCTATACTTAAGGAATTCGGGCTGTCACTCCACGGATCCCGGACGCTCTAAGACTCTCATTTGAGTCAATCGAAAGTTTAAAAAAAAATAAAAAAATACATTGAATTAACGTGGAAACTTTGAAGCGAGAAATTGCGCTTGGGAAACTAAAGTGTTGTTCTGGAACTGGGTTAAAAGCTCTTGTGCTTATCGTACGGTTTTGGGGAAATGTTTATTTACTTTTATTATTTTAAAAAAAATTACCAATTGCATTTTACTTATTTACATCGCTTGCCGAGCGCGAATTATACTAGAAGACTGTTATATTGCTATAGAGCCATGAAGTTATTGTTTTATATATGGGCTGCATTAACACTTTGTTTAACGCATCCTTATAGTAATAAATATTTTCAGTAAGAAAGTGTGCAAAATGGCTTACGATCGCCATGAGTGAACTGCTTTACTGCTGAGCGTGGTGGAAGAAGAAAAATAATGCGCGTGAGAGCAGAAGCGCGAAGTCTTGCATTTCTGGATTCTTTTACACAGACACGTGTTTCTGAAAACTACGAATCCAGGATCGCAGCTTCCGCCCAGTGAGTAAAAGGGTTGAAAAAAAAATGCATGGTATAAAAAATTACTGTACGATATTCATTATAGAAACAAACATACAGGCTTCCACTATGCAGCAAGCCTTGCAGCTTTCCTGTTTTAAAAATATAAAAAGCTCTTCCCAGCAGCAATTACTTAATTTAATAATTTTTTGCCGAACGCTAACTTAGACATAACCTAATGCGAGATATCTCAGAAAGTGTCAGCGCTCACCACGTCGGAAGCCTCATAAATCAGCGTCAGCGACGCACCCGTGCATTCTTCGCGTTCTCGAAGCCAAAAGTTGTGAGGAAAGGAGGTTCTCTGTGTGGTGCACCTGATGTAGGAATTATCTGTATTGAATAAAAACGCGCCTACCATGGTCATCAAAAATGGGAACCTGCTGTCGTGACTGTGTACGGTATTTTTATTTCAACCTCATCAACGCTTCGGTTTGAACAAGTTGCTGACGAGTTTAGAAGAAAGCCCACTGCAAACGTTTTCACGAGTATGCAGGATTTATGTTCCTCATTCAAGAAATATGATGGGAACTGATCGTGTCTTATTAAAAAAAAGAAGGCTGCTAGCAAAGGATTGTATAATAACTTTAAAATTATATAATAAAAATGAATGTCTGGATCTTATTCGCGATCTAATGAGGTCAAGCAAGGATGACAAAATGCGGACTTTGACAATGTAGCCCTTATAAGGTTGTTGTGAAGGCAGATATTGTATTGTTTCAGTAAAAACTTTATTGCATTAAATAAGCGTGGCTTGTTTTTTTAAATTTTACCTGAAACATTATGTGACTGCTTATACCGTGCACATTCCTAGCGCAAACTGTGTGGGATCATCCCAAAGCATTAGGCCATCCTGTGTGGGTAGCACAGAATAATACCACAACAATTATCGTGTTCATTGACTTGAAGATACAGGTTCAGCAGCTTTCTGCCAGCTTAGGAAGTGATATAAAAAATGAAAACGAATTCTTTCCATATGTTAATATAAACATGACCCCGACGTTTTGTAACCAGTTGGACCTCATCTTCATGGGCGAGTAAATAGGTGAAAAGCTTTCAATTTTCCGAAGAGCGAAAGGGGGGGAAGGAAGCTGGGGGGGGTTTTGGGGGGGCTGGGGTTCGACGAAATTTAGTACCTCTCCCCCTCCTTCGCGAAAGGCGCATTACTAAGCTGCAATTGCAATTTCATCTATAGTCAGATGCAACCTAAGAAGGACAGTCTGAGAAAGAAATGGCGGGAAATAAAAAGATCAAGTGGAGAGGGACGACCTTTTTTCCATAATGGCTTCTCTCGTGCGCGCCCTTTTCCCCCTCGCACTGTCTTTCTTGGGTTGTATCTTACTCTAGCAAATAATTATTCAAGATAAATAATTTTCAAGTGCAACATGATAATGAGAAGTCAAGCTCTAGATCAGGGGTGGCCAAGCTGCTGCTCTTTGCGTGTTGAAGTGCGGCTCGCGACTTCGTAATAAACCTCCCCCCTCCCGCTCCCCCCCCCCCCCCCCCGCCTTCCTCCCGGTCACACGAGCACTTTCCCAAGAAGACGAATGGAACGGGGTTTAATTTGAAAGACACGTTGCGGTTCGGTAGTCTTGTGCTACTGCTACCTTACGTGCAGATAAACTGCGTTTGACTATGATAGATCTAAAGTAGCTCAAATTACATTTCTTGCTCTGGACAAAGGTTTGCCCCCTCCCCCCCGCCCACCCGCTTTCTGCCTTTCCTCTTCTAAACGGCTCTTGGAGGTTTAGTAGTTTTGTTTGCGGCTCTTAGGCAGGGTCAGCCTGGCAACCCCATCTTTAGATACACAACAGCCGAATAAATATACGAAAATTTATTTCTGTAAACTTATCGGTTTTGATCGTAAACATTATTCAATGCACATCGCTTCGTCCTAGTACTAAGGTAGCAAATAAGCGTAGTTACTTTGGCGATATTTCTAGAACAGTATTAACACGCGTCGTGCGAGGTACCACCTTACTTCATCGTGTCTCGAATGTCGAAGTTGAAGGGGACGAAGACATTGAGAGTATTGAAGAAATAAAGAAAGAAAAAAACATAAAGAAGAATGGCTTAAACAAAGCAAAAACAAACAGAACACGGCTCGTTTGATGTCGGTTTGGCTATCCCCTAACAAAAAACGAAAAGAAAAGACGTCCCCCATTTTGCCCCTCTCATAACCACCTCGTATAGTTGAGACAACACTCCAGTAGAGAACTACCGTGGAGCCAGGCTGGCGCTCGGTAATTATCCCGGCCCGGCAGCTCTGAGTCCGCGGTCGTCGATCGCAGAAGCTTTTTCGCCTTATCGATTGCGTCTGGTGGCGTCTTCGTATTTTGCCGCTGTTGCCGCCGTAGAACAACACATCGCCAACAACTTGTGAGTGATCTTCTGTCTTTCACATTCGGCTTTTTTTTTTTTTCTTACGAGCCGCCGGGTGCATGCCCCAAAGCACCTTTGCCCCCGCTTTCGTCGATAAAGGCATTTTGCTGCTATCGCAGCGAGTCAGCGGACCACTTATGTATTTTCCTCAGTCCCTTCGTCTTGCTTCTGCGTTCTTTTTGAATACAGTCTTTTCAAAAGCTTGAACCATCGTCTGTCCGCCAGTCGTTGCTGAGCTGTGAGCAAGCATTGGACACTTGGAGTGTGTCAGTGCTCAGCATGAGCTCGGCTCAGCTCGTATTGAAGACGATGTGCTGCCGAGCCCACGGTCCTTGATTGTTACATGCTCTGAGTGCTGGGGTGTGCTTTTGTTGCTTCTACAACTTAGTGGGGATGTGGAGTTAAACCCAGGTCCGACTGAAGAAATGTTGAGACAAATTCTTGACAACCAACAAACAATGAGCGTCACTCTTAACAATATTCAGTCTAAACAAGTGCTACTCGAGAACTCTCTAGGAGCAGTCCAAACACGGCTTTCCCTTATCGAGACTAACTTTGAAAGTTTAAACAAGAACAAAGAAAGAATTGACGAGAAGGAAACTCGGATACGTAATCTGCTAAGCCACGTCGTTAAGCTCGATGGGAAAATAGATTACTTGGAGAATGCTAGCCGTAGAAACAACATCGTAATATATGGTTTGCATGAGGATGAGAAAGAAGACCCGAGGGAATTGCAGCAAACAGTAACGGAAGGTATCTTTAGTGCTAAACTACAGGTGGAGGTAAAAACTATCGAACGCATTCATAGGATCGGTAGAAAGATTGGCAATCGCCCTAGACCAGTGATATTACGCGTCAACGACTTTAACGAGAAAATGCGAGTTCTGAGAAACTGCTTCAAATTGAAAGGTTCGGTAATATCAATTTCCGAAGAGTATTCACATAATGTGCGCGCGATTCGCAACAACCTTTGGCAAAGCGCTGCTGTTAATAAAGAGAATGGAGATAAGGTTACGCTTATTTTTGATAAATTGAAGATTAACAATGACTTGTACAGTTGGGACCCTGTGAAATGTGAACGCGTGAAATGTGGCCTGAAGCAAGATTACACCCCCTACAGACCGTTTCCGCAAGAGCAAGATTGACCACTATCGAAAGAAAAACGATTGTGTCTGGTGTCGCTCAACGCGCGAAGCATCGTGAACAAGGTTGATAGACTGAAAGAGTGTTTACTCACGTATAATCCCCACATCGTAGTACTAACGGAGACATGGCTCCATCTAGGGGTTCATGATTCAGAAATAGTCCCACCGGGATACCTATTAATTCGTCAAGATCGAGAGGCAAGGGGCGGGGGTGTGGCAATGGTAATAAAAAATGGAATATCCTTTGTACAACTTGATGGAATACCAAATCACGAGAGCATCTGGTGCAAAGTAAATATGTTTGGAACGAGCATTTTGGTTGGCGGAATTTATAGACAGCCTAAGGCTCCTCTTCAGTACTTAATTGATTTACATGAGTACCTTTGTGCAGAAGTTAACGATAGAACTAAACTGATATTGACAGGTGATTTTAACTTACCCGGCATCAACTGGACCACGTTAACAAATGATAAGATAGATGAAGAAAGCTCGGAACAGCTATTGCAAAGCGCACTCAGCTTCTGTCTAGACCAATTGGTGCTGGAAGCAACCCGCATATCCGGAACAGCGAGTTCTACTCTAGATCTGCTGTTTGTGAGCAATTGCCTAAAAGAGTTCAAGGTTACGGTCGAAGATGGAATTTCCGATCACAAATTACTAGTCTGTACTTATCCATTGTGTAATACTAAACCAAATAAGCGTTTTACTGTTACGGTAAAAAATTATGCGATGGCCAATGATGTATGTATCCTTGATTATCTAGAAACCCAATTCGACCAATTCAGCCATATGTGCGACGTTGATGAAATGTGGTGCAAGTTTAAAGATATAATAACATACTGTGAAACGAACTTCGTTCCTAACAGAAAGAAAACGATAAACCGCATGAACCCGTGGATAACGCGAAATATTATACACATGAAACGCCGTCTGAAGCGGAGACGTAGAAACAAGCTCGAGGTACAAGAACTATCACGAGAATTGACATTAGAAATCAACTCGGCTAGGGCAAGGTACTTCAATATTACCCTACCAAATTTTCTTATACATGACCCCCAAAAGTTTTGGCGATATCTGTCGAGACGAGAAAGCCATGTTTCACAGTTCGAAATTGATGGTGCTATCACAGTTGACCCAGAAACCATATCTTCAGGCTTCAATTATTTTTTTCAGTCTGTATTTTCTAGCGCCCTCGAAGATTAATGTGAACCAGAAAATATTGAAGTGCCTGTAATGCCAAACTTGGAGATTACTCAGCCCGGAATCCTATCGTTACTACTGAATCTAAACGTAAAAAAGTCTGCTGGACCTGATGGAATCTCTGGCACAATTTTAAGAAGATATGCAGAGTGGCTCTCGCATTATCTATGTCTAAGTTTTGTTGAGTCACTGCGATCCTCACGGCTACCGGATGATTGGCGTTGTGCTAAGATTGTCCCGATTCACAAGACAGGAAATAAACACTTAATCACTAACTACAGACCCATTTCACTGACAAGTACGACATGCAAGTTAATTGAACACATAATATGCAAGGCGATAACTAAACACATAGAAGAAAACAATGTTCTTTATTCACATCAACACGGGTTCCGGGCAAGATTGTCTACGGTAACGCAACTCCTAGAGGTTACCCACGATTTTGCGCTTACTATTAACGATAGACAACAAACTGATGCCATTTTTATAGACCTATCAAAAGCCTTTGACCGTGTGCCCCATCAGAAATTAATAAGTAAGTTGCAGTCAGTTGGAATTAGTCATGCTTTGATTTCCTGGATTTATGGTTACCTTGTCAAACGCAAACAGTATGTTACACTGAACGTTAGTACCTCTGGGATGCTGGATGTGTTTTCCGGAGTGCCACAGGGGTCAGTGCTTGGCCCATTGCTATTTTTGATTTATGTAAATGATTTGCCGGCTTGTGTTGATCCAACTGTGAAAGTGAGACTCTTCGCCGACGATTGCGTCATATATACAACCATAGCTGGACCTGAGAGTCAGATAATTCTTAACAAATCATTGCAAAACATAAGCCTTTGGTGTAAGAGATGGGGTATGAAAATCAATCACGACAAAACTGCTGTTATCACTATCACTAACAAGAAAAACCCGTTAGACTTCTCATATATGTTAGATAATAAAACTATTAATAAAGTAAATGAAATAAAGTACCTGGGAGTTACAATATCCAGTAACCTTAAGTGGGAGACACATGTCACAAACGTATGCAGTAATGCATTTAAGAAGTTGGGCTTCTTGAGAAGAAAATTAAAAAACTCTACGTCTGCAACTAAACTGTCAGCATACAAGGCACTGGTCAGACCAGTTTTGGAATATGCCAGTATTATCTGGAATCCGTATCAGGATTACCTTGACAATAAGCTGGAAAAAGTTCAAAGGATCGCAGTAAGGTTCATCTATTCTAATTACTCATGGAGGGCTAGCGTTACCGCTATGCTTGCGAACGCAAAGTTGGACACCCTAAAAGATCGAAGAAAAATTGCTAGCCTAAAGTTTTTGTACGCACTGTACCAACAACAAATAAATATAGAACAAGAAAAATACCTTAAGGCCCCCTTTGTGCACTCAAAGCGAACCAACCATAACAAGACGATCAGGCCGTATTCAGCCAAAAACAACACGTTTAAATATTACTTTTTCCCCCGCGTTATTGATGATTGGAATAAGTTACCAGAAGAAATCGTAAATAGTACATCAGCGCAGTCTTTTGCCGAGACTCTCACTTCTATGCTCTAGCATAACATTCCGCCTATACGTTTTTCTTTTTGTGTCTTTTTTTTATCGAATGTCTTATACCGCTGTAGTGCTTCTTGTTTGTACTAATGTCCACTTCTGTATGGGTCTTCAATGACCTACAGTATTGATAAATAAATAAATAATAAATAAATAGACTGCTGCGTCAGCGGTCGGAGAGTACTCGGATCCACTCACATGCTTTGTGCCTAAGAAATGGCGTTGATGAATGTTACATAACTAACATTTAAAACCGTATTTTCTTTTGTGTGTGTGTGGGGGGGAGGGGGCGGCTAGTGTGCAACAACGATTGCCGTGGCCAAGGGAGTCTATTCCTACGTATTGAATGGCGTCTGCAAGCTTTTTTGCTACTACTATTTTTTCCCCTGGAATTGAGTTTCCCAAAATGTGTCGTATATTGATGCTTGTGAAGTTTCTAGTTCATTTTTTTTTTCGTTAGTGTTTGCTCCTACTCATGAACGACACCTGCCGATAGGTGTATGCGCCCTCCACGGCGCACACATGAGGCTGGTGTAGAAAGTGCCCCCCCCCCCCCCTAAAAAAAAAAAGAAAGGTTTTTTTTTTTCTTTTTTTGGTGCACAAATTAAGTGCATCCCCGAACGTTCATTCTCCGCCCAATTGTGGCCTTAGCGGACCGAACTAGATGCCAAAGTTTCACAACTAACCGTCATCTTATCCAAAAGTTACAAGTGATTTCTTTTAGAGTTTAAATGGGAAAGTTGGACCCATTTTCGCCCGTTTTCGGTAATTGGCTCCATAGAGCTCCGTGTATTTTAAGAGGTTCATCGCCCTCCATTTTCCCAATAAAAGTTTGAGAAAATCTTTATAACTTTAGAAATAAGCTAATGGCTGGTGTTGAAACTTTGGCATCTGGTTCGAATCTGTAGCGCTAAATTTGAGCGGAGAATGAACGTTCGGTGATTCATGGTTCATTTTTGCGGTGAATAAAACCTTGTAACTTTTTCTGGCGGTAACCCTGTACTTGCTATTCCGAGAAGCTCCTGGAGAAGAATTGTGTGTCTGCGTGAGGGGGGGGGGGGAAGCCCAAAATTTCCCTGGGGGGAGGGGGGCGTGCTCTGCCCCTCCGGAAAAATTGCGGAGGGGGCTCGGGCCCGCAAACCCCCCGCCCTCCATTCCATCCCCGCCCCCCCCCCCCCCCCCCCCCACCCCGTAGTCGGCACCTGCGGGTGATTTCTCGGTAAGGACAAGGTCGCTTATACACTTCCACGCACGTACGGAGGGTTGGCGACGTTACACAGCCCGGTGGGCTGTCTGACGTCACCTAAATTCTACTTATTTAAAAAAAAAGTTAGATACCTATTAAATTTTATAGAAATATTTTTATTAAAAGAAGTAAAGCGAAATATTTATACTGTTAAAAACTAAATACGACATATAGTATTTTTTAACAGAGCTATAAGTAATCGAATTAGTATCCTACAATAGAAGCTACTGTCATACACAGCGACTAAGATAATTACGCGCAGGTTCAATGAGACTCTTTGTGATCTAAATAACTTCTTTTTAAACCTCGAAACTAGCCTTACACTTTGTAGGACATCGTAAAAAAACAACAGTGCGAACGTTTGTGAGCTTTAATAATTTTTAAAAATTCTTTTAATTGTGAGTTGTGTAAAGAAAAGAAACTAACCAGGGTAATACGACTACAATAGTTTCTATTGAAGAAGCAGTATGCTCGATATTTTGTTTCGAAACAAACTAAACCATAAGATTCGCTGAGCCTCATACCTCGCCAATCTCCATCTCAATTAAAATGCTTTCTTATCCATGTACAAATATAAACAAATTTCAAATTTTTACCGGCGCTGGCTCGTAATCGTAAGCGGAAATCCAAAAATACAGCCGAACCTTTTTTTCGCGAGTCTCAGTTACGCTGACGGTTATAAAAGGAAGGTTTTACGGATCCAGCAGGAGATTGCTTCCGGTCTGGAATACAGTGACTGTCGTCGTTATGAACCACCATCCGAAACGGGCTGCCTAGAATCTCCACGTTGCAGGGAGTAAGGACGGAGAAGTATGGGCTTATGAATATTAATACATGGAATGGTGTTGCCCTTTTAGAATTTTCGTTAGATTATACTTGTTGTTTTGATGTTTCTTGGGTTACGAGGAACACATAACGAAACTGTCAGTTGGAAGAAGAGAGCGCAGATAACCGGTATTTTCTAAAACTCTCTCCTCGTATTCGCAAAAATAAAGAG